AGCCACGCTTTCAAAAAATACATGAGGAAAGCTGCATTAGACAAACAAGGCAAGTAAATATGGTAACAGTCTGAAATAAAAGCAAGTCAGATCTGCTGTATTATCCTAGCCTTAGCGGGTTGAGTTTTAATCCGTTATTTTGTACTTTCAGGTTTCTTTTTCAGACCACCACCTAACACTTGGCAGAAAGGCTATCTATATCTGCTAGACTGTAGATATGTTGCAGCCCTTCTCAATGTGACAGAATAAATACATTGTCTCCCACTTTGCCTGTCTTTCCCATTTGTACATCTTATCTTAAGCTATGCTCTCCAGAGCAGGAACAGCATGCAGTCTGTTCTCTCCAATACACAGTATGATAGAACAGTGTGCATCACAGGAAAAATAAAATATATTCTTCGACATAATGTATGTGATGACAATGGGTGCATTGCAAATTTAAGCTACGTTATGCCAAGGAATGTGTGTTAATTATATTACAAAGTAAAATTAGGCAATGCAAACTTACTGGAAAAAATTCTTAATTATTTTGTTATTGCTGTGCTTGCCAGAATCACTTGCATACAACATAAGAAACCAATTCTAAACTAATTTTGAGCAGAAACTTTCTTCTGTAATTGCAGAACACTGTCCAATAAGCAAGTCAGAAAAAAACACATACTTTAAACCACAGGAATTCTTAGAGAAATGGATGAAAGGATAATTAATAAGCAACATGTTAAATTTTGTTTCTAATGTATCGATACACACACAGCACAGCTACTTCATTTTGGAATCTGCAAGCCTTTCCTTAATTCTCAGTATACCTTTAAAAAGAAAAACCATGCCCCTAATGTTAAAAAAAGTGATCATACAAACTCCTTTAATCTAACTGCTTCACCAAAACCCCGAGAAGACTCATTATAAATGTTCTTCCTTACTGCAGTGAATTATTTAAATGATTATCAGTTCATCATATAAGGACCAAAGGTAGAGGCAAAAGGGCTTTTTCCTTTAGTATACATGGGAAACACAGACTATGCCTAAATGATCATCCAGTTGGGCTCCAGATGCTCAACTCACACTAACCTGCACCCATACAAAGAGCTGTTGTCCCATATTCCACTTTGTATTTTTCACCGCTGAATGCACACATGCATGGGCTCTTAGCATCAAAATGGAGTGAAATAATATCAGGACAACATATAAAGTCTTTCTTTACTGATTGTCAGCAAACACCTGCCTGATTTATCCTAGTCTCTTAAAAATAAAAAGCTTGCCTTAAGCCACTTTCTGAAAGTATCTTACGCACACAAAATAAATACTCCAGCGGTGATTTAAGCTAACCTGCTTGACTTTGAGGACTGATAATCCACTTCAGTACAGGCAAGTAACATCATACAGCTGAGAAGCGACACCACCTTCAATCACTTCTTAGCTTTGACTCATCACACAAGAACTTTGACTTTATAAAGAAACAGACTTGAAACACATTATTTTAAGCCACTACTGAAATTTCCTTCTTGACTACAAGGTCAAATTCGTACATATAAGAGCATGCCAGAGCGCTTGACATGGGGATACAGAAAGCCGCCTGACACCATGTGGACTTGAGACTAACCTGACCACACAGATCTAGTGCTATCTAAACGGTAGTGATACAGAAGGATCACTTAGCAGCACAGTAACTTCACTAACAAACTACAACAATCAAAAGCAACTGCTTAACAGAATAGTCATCAACAGAAGAAAGCAAGATGTTTTAAGGTTGTGCAAGAGGGAAAAAAACCCACGTACACCTATTTCCTACAACCTGAAATATGATAAGAATGCAGAAGTCTACTATGTTTCAGTTGACACTATGGAAAAACTCATCTGTCTTTAGCTCTGGAGACAGTTTTTTGTACCATCTTAATGACTGGGGGCAGGGGAATATGCTTTTTGGTTTGTTTGTTTTTTATATATACAAACACTTAGCTTTTAAAGTAACAACAAAAAACCTTGTAGACATCTAAGTGAGGTACATTTATTCAAATTGATGTAACTTCTTGAGAGGTCTTTCACAACATTTCTTTCTCCCCCTCCCCCCCCGGACTTCCACCTTCAGAAAACAGACATTCACTCTGGATTATTTAAACTTGGAAAAATGCAAGTGTTTTCTTTGAAAAAATATCTATTGTTACAGCAAAAACTTGGGTTTCCTTTCAAGCAAGATCATATGATTACGCGTTTATATTTTACTTTCCGCAGGAATTTACACACCCCCCATTTGCATCCTGTTATTCATTTAGCGTTTCCCTTTACTTCAGCATGCTGCGTTAATAAAGTGGACCTGTTGGCTCAGTCTAGTCGCTCAAGGTGACAATCAGTGCTCACTCCTGCATTTGTCAGATTTATTCCTATAGGGCTTTCCGCATATATTTAACTACAGAAAACATTCCCTCAAAAAAGCAGTTCTGTGAGAAGAACTGCACAGACAGATTGTGAAACTCCAGCCTAGGGGTTTTCAGGGTATTTTTGTTAATTCCGTACTTCAAAGCACTAATTTCTCTTTTGGAGGGTAAGTTTCAACTGAAATATTAAGTTATTTAAGTACAATAAAATAGTATAGAAGATTTTATTTTCAGTACTGGATCTGTCATAGTCATAGATTGGTTACTCTTGTTTATATTCACTTTAGTCATTGATGTTAGCCTTTAAACACCTTCAGACAGATACTGATTACTAACCTGATTTGTAGTCCTACAGTTCAAAGGCCTGAAAAGAAGTAGCAAAAAGTCTTTTTCTGCTAAAAAGGTTAAGACAGCTTCTACTGAAGCTATTCTGTCTGCAGGTATAAATTAAACTTGCTTAATTTCACACTGTTCAAAATGTCTTGCACAAGATAAGCAACATCAGATTATTTATCTTTTCACATTTACCAGGCTTTATTTTATGGAGGCTATAAGAACAAAATTCTGCTGTAAGGCACCTAGTATATGCACTTACTTGTTGCTTGAAAAGTCTTTTCCTATGAGGCCAATCAAAATTCTGCTGCTTAATTCATTATAACACAATTAAATACCCTATACAGTGGTCCAGTATGGTAGCATTAGCTGCGTATTTTTATCTTATGTGGATACCATACTAATAGTATGCTACTGAGTTGAAAACACAGGTTAAGTTTGCTTCAATCCTGGATCCACAGTAGTTATATTTGCATTTCAGGTTGCAATTTAACTTCTCTGCTACTAACACACACCTAATTCATCACCGCTGTGAATGGCTGAAAGCTACCTTCCTGTTCAAATTAGGAACAAGCAACTGATGTAAATTTTGGTGCAAAGTGATTCTGGCTGTCTCTCTACAGCTAAAGCCATGATTTTTTTTTCCCTATACAGAAATCATAGCCTTAAAACCCTTTATTCCAGGACCTTAAAGTGCAAATTGTCGGGGGGTGGGGGTGGGTGGGGAGAAACAAAAATCAAGCACTTCCATTGCATGAGAAATTGAGATGATATTAACACTCCACTCCAAGTAAGGCAAAAAACTTGCAATCTTGTATTTGTTTCAGAATACATAAAAAAAAAGTTTCACTGAGACCAGAACTTCCTCTTCAGTTCACCAAGAGAACACGGACAAGCCAAATTATTTGGTTTATGGCAATTAACCTGATATAATGTCTCACAAAGACTTTGATGAAACTGATGTGCCAAGAGTACTCTTTCATTTCATGGGAGCAAATATTTTCATCTGAAAAAATCACTGCTAGAAATATTTGACCAACTCTAGTCTTGAGAAGATTCCATACTAAGAATTGTCCTGAACAAGCACAGAAATAAAGGCACTTGCATATATTCTTCAAGCAATAAAACACAGGATATAAATTTATGAGCATTACTAAATTGAAGCCACTAGACACAATAAGTAAAAAATAAATGTTCTGTATTCCTGGCAGGAAAAAGTGGAACTATCTTAGGCAGTTAGGTTTCTTCAGTCCTTTCATCCATGGTATGGAATCACTATCAAGAGGCTGAAATGCTAAATCTTAAATTGATGAGAACAGAGGTTATTTTCATGTCCCAGAAATGTAATAAAAAAAAAAAGAAACTTGCAATTCGTATCAACAGCATTGCAAGCAAGATTCCTTAGCTACAGCTGGTCAATATAATTCCATCTTCAGTATGATATTTTAAAACTTCACTGACTGATAAAAAAGGGACTATTATTCAAATACAAGCTCCCTCCTTTATTTGAGCAATGAAAAGGACCAGACTATTTCTGCCTTTGAAGAAACTGGCATGAAGCCAGCCATTGCATCTCAGCCTACAGAACAACTCGGGTAGCGAATGAGAAGGGTAGGACTCCTTGACCAGCTCTGAGACAGTGTAAGAGAGCAGGTGCTTCTGGCCTGATTACTACTCTGAGTGCTGCTGTATTACCCTTGCCAGGGCTGGGGACAGGGAAAACCTGCCGACACAACTGGAGAACCTTAGCTGTCGTCTTGCTGCTCATGGCCTGCATTAATCAGGGCTTGAACACAGGAAAGACTTTGCCTCTATTTCTTTCCAAGTCACCTTTGCAATAAACTATAGGAAGGGGCACTAGCAATTACTTTACATCAAAACAAAGTCATTTTTGATGCATCATTAAGCAAAACATACAGCTGATGGGAACTCTATGACACATTTTGAACAGTAATGGTTTTATGAAGGCAATTTTCAGAAAGGAAAAAGAAATCTCTTCAGTATCCTTGAAAGTCTAAGGAAAAGCACTGGAAGACTCATTAAGGGCAATATTACTTCCAAATGCAAAGCTTTGAAAGACTGGTGATTTAAGTGAAATATAAGTAGTTACATTTGGTTTTCAAGAAACTGGAAAGCTTGCTTTATACAGTTACATTGTATATACCCACACAACTGGATGTTCCATTAAAATGCAGATAAATTAACAGCTTTAAGTACTTAAACAGCTGAAATCAACATACAGTATGAACAGAATTTTACAAGCAGTCCAAAACCAAATAAATTCCCAACACTTACCATCAAAAAAACTTTTGGCTCTCAGGTAACTGACGCTAAGCCTAAGCACAGAGAGCTTATCCAATTTGGCGATAACATCTTGAGGGAAAGGCAGAAGGCTAGCCAAGCGGTCCAGCTCTGCATTCAAGCGGTCCCTGTGTCTCTTGGATGGATTGGACTTGACTCCTTCAGCTGGGGATGGCTTTACTCTGTGGCAGAAAAAACAAACACAATATAAATGCGTGTTTCTTCCCAAAGTGAAGGTAAATATTTGCCAAACCTAACATTACAAATTGTCTTTTAAACTTTAACAAGCAAAGTGTTTTTCCCAAGCGACTTCTGTTTCCCATTGGGAAAATAAAAAATTAGCGTAAGATGGTTTAACCCCCCCTCCAACACACACACACACAAACACTGTTAAATGAAGCAGTTGGAGCTACAATGGCTATTTGAACATATAACGAACATTTGAAACCTTTGATATTCAGCGTTTTTTATAAAAAGCTTCCTATGCTTTAATTCAAATGTCACTTGAACTCTTCCAAATGTTTGTGTTACAAATAATTCAATAATTTAGTAATATTTGTGTACAAATGCATTTGACAGTACACTTTTTCACTTCAATTACTGTTTTTCACAGGTGTCCTTAATTTTTGTCAATGTTTGGAACAAGCTATTGTCAACTGAATACAACAAAAGTTTTAGTAACTTGCTAGGCAATGAGGCATCTAAAACCACACAAGAAAACAAGAGATACAGCCCAGCTAGCAGGTAAAATCTTTGTAGCAAACACTATTGAGCTCATCCTTTAAGCCACCTCTCAGCTGAAGGCATTTAATTTGAGCACAGCATGACAAAGGCATGCCTTTGTACCTTACAAAGTACAATTTAAAAAGCTTTCTGTTATGAATTACTTAATAGTTTTTTTAAACTTGCTATTTTCCATTCATATTCACCCTGAGCTCCAATTCCAGATACTTGGATACTCACACCTTCCCATGTATGCAGAAGTCTAGGAACAGGTTTAAACCCCTACTCATTTGGGTTATAAGTAGTCATTACAAGACAATATTGAAACCAAATAATTTATCTGCACAAGCCATAGTAGATTTTATGATTTTAATTAGAAAACTGTTTAATAAATGAGTGATTCATTCTCACTTTTCCAGTATTGCAGTTCTACTTGACATCTGTAGCAGTTATTGATTTGTGCTGCTCTCACAGAAATGTTGGTTCTGCAAGATGTATCACTCACAAAATACTGAGCATAAAGACTTTCAGCAATTAATTTCTTCAGTATTTCATTTAGTCTGCTTCCAAGCTTCATAATTATATCAATTATACGATGAGAAATCGCAAAAGCTCCAACAGTTATTTTTGCCACTGCTGAAAGTAAACCATCCTGAAAAATAATTTCGTCTTGTATTTCCAGTCAAATAAGTAGTGATAGAGTGGACATTCCTATTTTTAGCTTGTTTTTACTTTATGTCTCAATTACACTTCTTGTTAGTTTAAATTCAAGTCCTTCTTTTTACAGGCATTGTTTATTCAAGTGTCACTTGTCAAAAACTTTGCACTTAAGCCTGGCTGCCTGTTCCCTAGCACTACGGCTGCCCTTTTGCACGTTAAAGGAGGCATGCTCCTTACGTGGAGCCTGGAAACTCGAAGATGCCGTAATACAAAATGTTGTTAACACACAGAAATATAATATATCAGCAGCAACTACTTACTCCCCAGCTGGATAAAGTTAAGCTTGCTGCAGGGTAAAGATTGTCTAGGACACAGTTCTAGTAGAGCTTTATCCTAAAAATATTGGAAAAGTGGGGAAAACAGATGAATCAAGAAATATGAAAATTCTCTCTCTTGAAAAAAAACATAGGTTCATCATCAACTGCAATGGATGATAAACTAAATATTTGGCAAGATGTGTGCTTCAGTCACTAGCCCTGACTTTCAGACCTGCAGCTCACCACATCCCCGAGTGAATATTAAACTTAAAATAATTTAGTAAAGCTTTCTGCCAGAATAAGAGAATGTGAAGAATATTCATTTGTACAAGCCATATGATTAACAGAATTTAAATATAACCCTAACAAGGTAAAGTTCAAAATCACCAAACATTACCACTAACATTAAAAGTTACTTCATAAATATTTTTTATGTATTAAACTACCATAAATGTAGAGACAGAATAAATTCCAAACTTTAAGCAGATAACAGTTGTATAACAACCAGTGAACAGCTCACCACTATCAAATTAAACATGTCTGCTTCCAAAACGTGGAGGTTGCCCCACGAAAACCATTCAAAACACACAATCTTTACCAAATAAATCAGCACTAAATACCAGACTTCTATTTTCACAACTGGCCTCTGCATTGCTTAAAACTTCTACAAGCAATTTGACAAGTTAGTTAAACTGTATGCAACTGTGCAGTTGTCTCGTCAAGCTCTTAGTTAGATCTCATTGTTTTTGCTTTACTTTCTAATCTTTTCTCTTTCTTACTTCTAACTAGTTCAAAGCATAAGGATTTTCTAAGTGTAGTACACAACATTTCTGAATATTGTTACTGGTATTTGCAGCATAAATCTTACCATGTTCTCTCCCTCCAAATCAAACATTGATTTTCCCTAATTTTCCCCTTTGTCATCCAACTAAAATCCATTATATAAAAATGGATCCTTCAGTGACGAAGGGAGTAAGAGCAGAAATGCCAGGGGCATAAGTAGCAAGCTAAACCATCTTCCATCCACTTACGTAAACCCTTGATGCTAAAGACAGCCCTAGCTGCGTTGCAGAAAATTATCTTCAAGGAAAATTATGTACTATGTCAAGATTAAATCCATGCATGTGTTTCATTTAAAAAAGAAAAAAAGAGTAAACAAGGGAATGGATTTTAAGCTGATCTTTGAGTTCTTGATCTTTTGCCTTTCACAGGAAATTTGAATTCCCTAATTAAAGGCCAGAGGTCTCTGTACACTCAGTGGCTCTGAACTGAGCTACAATCCTTATCATCCAACAGCTGCAAGACAAGCAAGCACTCTTAATTCTTGTTTTAACAGTTCTAAAGGATTTGCCATCATAACATTAGCTGACTACTATTTTCACAGGTCTGCTACAGACTACTCTACCAGAAGGTTTCATTACATGTGCTTACCATGCGCACCTTCACAGACATTAAAAAAACTAAATTATTAAAAAGAAAGTCTTAATTATTATCAAAAGGCCAAAACAAGTTTCAATATTTACATGCTAATTTGTATTTTTTAAAGGGAAATTGAAGCAGCTCTTTGAGAAAATGAAAAGAAAGCACAAATTTATATTGTTCATAATATGATAACAAAAACTTTGAAAAGAAGGGAAAAACCAAACAACCAAGCACTGAAAAGCATACCTTATTAACAAGACTGAAGTGTGAAATGAAGTCAGGAAATAAAAGAATGTGCAAGAGCACTAAAGATATAGTGATATGTTAAAAAACTAATTCTGTTAAAAAAACTAATTAGAAGTTCATCAGAACTGTTTTATTGCCTAGGGAAAAAGGATATAAGGAAGAACATACACGTCACCTAGCTAACGGGTTTAATCTTTTCAGCTATGTATATTTTTCACCTCAAATTTAATAGTACATGCAATAACATATGTTATTCTTATGTATATTATTTAATTCAATGTAGTTCAGGTATATGAAATGCATCAGTTACCACTAAGCAAGTATTACAATAGGTGACATCCTCCAAAATTCTCTATTTACTTTAGCAACTGAAAAATACTTCAAGCATTTACTCTTTTATTTCCCCCAAGGAATTTACAATTACTGAAAATTCAGCTGACAATTCCTTTGGAAGCAACAGATATGACACAGACTATCGACTTCTTTGATCAAAAGTTGTTGCCAACCTATCTTGAAGGGGCAAGAGTCCCTTTCCAGTGGCTCCTTCAGCAGGCAATGAAACCAGCAAAGATTTAGGCCACTAAAGGGATAAAGTTGTTTTTATGAAAAAACCTCAATCAGCAGCATGCTACTCATCTGATGCTGGGCAACTGTTTGTCCTCCAGTAGTAAAGAATTTTAGTTTGCTCAGGTTGTTTTGGTGTATGAAAGACTCCAGCAGAGTGATAGAGACAGCCAGAACACCCACCAAGAATGGAAGTTTCACACTCAGTTTTAACATATTTCATTACTGTTTAAGATGACAAGCCAAGGCGATTTGGAAAAAGAAAAAAAGTATATTTCTAACTACTGACCACGTTATCTACATTTGTCTCTCCCCACTTGCTGCAGATTCTCTTTCTAAAAAGTATATGTTTGCAAGAAGCATTGACCAGAAACCAACCAACCAACTAAAAAAAACCCACAAACCTTAAAACCAGTGAATTTTAAGTAGCAGCCTACATGTAACATACAGGTACTGCAAGACTGGCGAGGTTATTATTTATATATATTAAATTTATTCTACATATGATAACAGCTTTATTGCCTCCATTTCAAATAAGAGGTGCAAACTGCTGTTTGTAGCAGATACTGCTTTACACAAAGGAATCTTTTAATGATTTTTTTTTTCTGATGAACTTCCATTTTGAAAGCTTGTTCTGGCACTTCTTGTTTGTTTGCCTTGAAAGAATACATAAATACTTTCATTTTTAAACTAAAATCTCTCTGCACTGCTTTCTGAAATTACTATGTCTACTTATAATTAAGGATCAACCAGTCAAACATTTTTCTGTAGTGTATTTAGTATCATAAATATATTTAAGCTAACACAGAACAAAACCATATCATAATTTATTTTTCAGTCTGCTAAAGAAACATGCCATTATGCTTTTTTTCACCTGCGTAGTATGAAGCATTTAGACCTCCTCACCCCGTTCTTTGTCTATAACATTTATGCAGTTATGCAAAACAATTCCTATCCAACCACTGGAGAAAAAAAAAAAAGAAAAAACAAGGCAAATCAAACCTAGTAGGCAGAAAAACATAAAAACTACAAGGTGGAGCTACATTTATGTAATAGCCTTCACCTAATGTTAGAACCTGTCTCTAGTAAACCCCACTTCCACAAAATTTGCATTTTTATCCTTCCTACTATAATACTTGTATACTATTTCAGCAGTTCAGTTAATCACTAGAGAAAAGGAACTCAAGACAAAAAAAAAAAAAAAAAGCAAAAGCAAGGGCCACCCATTGCTCCCCAAGTCTCA